TGATGTGTGCCTTAAAATACACCCTTCAGCAGCTCACATCAATATTTCAAAGTAAAATTTGGTTTTCTTTGATGAATACTACTATGGCATTCCCGGCGTTTATAATAACAACCCTGGCAATGTGCGGCGAAAACCACATCATACAATAACATAATATTCCAGTAAAGTGTGTTCGCATATTACATCATGAAACATCAAAAAGTATAAAATTTATATTTCTATAATCAAAAAAGGGAGCGTATTTTAAGTTTGAAAAAAAAAAACATCGTATAAGGAGACGTTTTTTCATAATGTTGGCCGACGAACAGTTTGAGTAAAGTTCTTCAATCGTGGTAATATAGAATCGTTAAATGATCATATGCATAATAAATTATGAAATGTTACGCTTGTTCCTTACACCAAAATTCCACGCATGTAAACATTGATTTTTGATTTTCAAACAGCAACCATTTCAAATTAGAGATCCAGAAGAAGAATATTTTCAGTAATAATTTTGATATAACCCACGATAGATGTACTAGGAATTGGATTCGGGTTTATAATTTATAATAGTATGCGATTTAGACAGAATAATACAGACGATGGGTCGTTTTATAGTCGGTTTATTTTACGTGGGTTCTGTGCATAACTATTTTTTACTAGAAATCTTGTTCCAATCAAAACCTTTCTAATAACTTTCTTGTAGCATTATCAAGGGCGTTCGTCTTCGAAAATCCAAGGGGGGGGAGGGTGCACTGTATTTTTTCAGTAACATTAACATTCCTGTTAACCTATTAACTGATACAATATGTAAGCTTACATAGCATAATATAATATGACTGTACTCCTATTTCCTACAATAGTACCTAATTATCATAATTATAATATATAAATGTACAACAGACACGGAAAAGCTAGGGCGGAAATTCCCCTTCCTTTCTCCCCGTCTATGAGCATTATTGGTCTGGCGGGTGCTTTAAGGAAGTGAGTTTTAGATTTTCCTCGGAGTTTTCTTAATAACAGTGTTGTAAAAGTTGTTAAAATTAACTTACGAGTTTTTTTTTTTTTTTTGGATAGCCGCGATACATAAAACGTATAACACTTACCTAATTAATGCTCTACTAAATTGTAAAACTGATAAACGAAATATATTTATGTATATTTTACTAATCTGCGTAGCAAAAGGTCAAAGCGGTCTTTGAAAGTCAAAAGCTAATACGCATTTAATCGACAAGGAATAGGAGCAAAATTCGAAAATGGCGTTAATGTACAACCAAGCTGAAACAATACCATAACTAATGATGAAAACAAAACTGAAATATCCTCCGATAAAATCGTCGGACCTTGATAATAGAACCACTCTGTATTTTGTTATTTATTTAAACTCAATATAATCACGTGACCGTATCAATTAGTCGTTATATACGTGTATTCGCATTGTGTAAAAAAAAAATTTAATTAATCTCTTTACGTATAACTATTATTACATTACTTTGTAAACCAATACTCGTTTTGTCTTGTTATTATATTGTTTTTAACTCTATTTTATACCCCACGGATTTTTTTTTTTTTTTTAATCCGTCGTTAACGACGAAAACTTCTGTTATTTCTTTATAGGTGGGCACCTATAGTGGTTCTTTTATTTTTATGCTCAACCTATCAATTATTATCCTCGAAAACTTCTTGGCCGTAGTAACTTTGAACGCACTTGTATATATATATATATATAATTTGTAATACAGGTTTTAAAAATCGAATCGAAAGTTGTTGAAACGTAAACAAAAAATCAGGCTGATACAACTGATAAATTTATACATTTAATAATAATAAAGATATAAACGTATTTAATTCATGTCTGTATTTGACGGTAAACAATCGCTAACGAAATACGATTCTGAACAAGAACTATCGCGTTGCGCTCGAATCGTTCCTCAAATCATACTTATCTGACAACAAGTTTTGTTTTTTTTTTTTTTTTTTTGCGATTTCGTTTACACGCGACCGCATTGCATTGTGCCGTCGACCAGGATACGATTTTAATTTCACAACATTATCGCGTTACGTTGCAACGCACGCGGTTTATGATAATAATATTACAAGTCGACAGTTTTGGCGGCTAATCGGCAATCAGACCCGAGGCCCCACTCCGGCGCGCCGGCTGATTAATCAAGGCGCAAACTAATCTACCCGCGGTCAGGTACGGGCGAGCGTTACCTTGTCTGCGACTCATATTTCCACACCGCCCGCAGGGATATCCGTCCAATTTATTAATTACGTACGCTGGCGCGGCCACGCACGCGCGTGTACCGCACACCTATGGATTGTTTGCAGTAAAATTAATTACAAATCTTGGCGAACGCGTGAACGGAATTCTATACGATATTCAATGATGTTACGCACACCCGCTATTAATAACTCGACGCGCGCAACGCAGTTGAACGGTCCCGAACCGCACGGCGTGATAACGTTATAACGCACGCGAACCGCCGTAAAAATCGTTGTTCGACTTTCGGTTTCGACAGATTTTAATTAAATGAAAAAAAAAAACAAAAAAAAAATTAGAAAAAAAAATACAAACACGTCGGATAAGATTGTGTTGGAACGGTAAAATTATATTATGCGGTAAATTGTGGTTTTGCGTTACGCAGGCACCGTACGCAAACGCCGATCCATTTTAACGGAAAAAGGATTCTGAACAGAATTCAGTTGAACGCGTAGTGGATAACGATACCGTTGTAAAACCGTGGGCTTTTCCGTTTTCCTACTTCACCCCCCCCCCCACCGGTTTTTCCGAATAAATAAGAAAGACTTGCGCATTTCACACTTCGTCTCGCGCACCAACCGGTTACAATTTTTTGTTTGACACGATGAAACTCTTGTAATTTCAAACGATATTTTCAATAAAACAATAAAAATCAAAAACAATACAAATCTTTACTATCTTAAATTCGTTCGTTTTCTTTCCCTAGTTTTCTCAATTATTACAAAACCTGCTTAGAAAATCAAAAAATCACTTGAGAATATGTATACGGCTACAAAAAAATAAAAAAAATACGCATACGTCATAGTAAAACCAATACATTTCTCGCTCCCTAAGAATCTAAAATTACAAACGTTATTGATGAATTTTATCATAAGTTCGTATTTAATACATTGACATACTCATAACTCAAATTTCTGTTTTACATACAACCTTTTAAATGAGATATCAAATTAAATTTGCGAACATTTTTACAAAAAATTTAACATACATACACCGGATGTTTCAAATAACTATATATGAACAGCTAAAACAGCTTCAAGATTTTTCTAAAATTACAATAAGTCTAAAAAATGTTTATGTATAAAATATTCAATAAAAAATGCCAGGTCTGCATTATTATTTGTCACCAAATTAAAACAAAGTTGAAAATTATAAAAAATGTTTTTCAGTAAATATATTAGATATAATATTATCTACAATACCGCGGAAAAAAAGTACCTAGAAAATAAAAAAAAAATGGACCGTTTAACTGTTCACCTACTGGACAAAATATTTGCCATAGTAAAGCAACCGCTCCTCATATTGATAACTGAGACAAATTTTCCGGTCGTCATAAACTCGTTCACGCAGACCGAACGAAAACCTACACATTCTTCACTTAGCTTTGAAATCAAAAAAAAAAAAATAAGAAATTCGATCGATCGAATGGTATACATATACGCCGTAGTTATAGAAATAGTTTTAATACTGTTTACTGCGTATAAATGTTCCCGTCAAAATTATTAACGCGAGTACTTAAATCCGTGAATATAATATTATAACGAAATATCTACATTTCTTTTTATTTCGGTCCATTAAGTAATTTTATAGTGGATACGCACGTTTTACGTTCAACGATTTTCGTATTATAATGGGATGCATTCCGAAAGCATTTACTTTTGCAAGAAACGCAAAACTTTTTATTTTAAATAACGATCTGCCCATTAAACTTACAATTCAAAAACAAACGAAAATCATAATAAGACTTTGCTACTATATTAAGTATCGTTATTATTGTCATTAAAACGGAAACGACGTTAAATTGTTATACATTTAAAAAAAAATAATGAAAAAACTCTAACGCTTAAGCACCTATAATAATGCAGGTACCTAATTTTTATACTTTTGATTTAATGTTTGTATTAAAATAGCCTCGGTACATTTTGCGCACGGAAAGGGACTATAGCCCCACACGCGGACCGTGTTTATTCATACGCGTACTATTTTTTTTTTTTACGGTTTGAGTGTTGCTTATGTCTCCAGTGGTTATTTCTTTCACTCCAGAAAGAAAATTGTCTATACTGTACCGTACGAAAACGTATTTGGGAGAAGCTCTTTGACAGAAAACAATACTCGATGGGTTAGCCACGCGTAATATAAGGAACGAAAATAAGACACTAATGAAAAATATATATTAACTGCCTTCGCTCGAAATTCTCCGAGCGGTTTAATAAGTACAGCTACACGTATTTCATATTAAGTCGTTTTACCGATAATTTTTATTTAAAGCATAACACTGTTGATTACAATAGTCCAACCCGCCGCACGCTCCTAAACCTCTTAAAAATGTCCATGATACAGGTGAAATCGTATTCAGCTCTCCCGATTTAAAATCCCGACTACGCCACCGAACCGGTGTCTGTAAATAATATTGTCGAACGGCATAACAAAATATTTTGTTCACAGCGGTTATTTATGTAGTTGCAGTATGCTTACTCATATACAAGTATCGTATAATTACGTATTTTTGAACGTGTTCAATAAAAATAAATAGGTAGTCAAACAAAACGTATCGCGAAACATAATAAGCGCATAGAATATATTATAAATACTTTTGAATGCCGTTATGTATATTTTGTAGATATTATGTTACGTTCCGTATTATCCAGTAATATTGTACGGATATGGAACGATCACCGAAGAAACCGGACGGAAATAACGGAACGTTTAAAACTTAAAAGAAAAATACTACGGAAGACTGTTGGACCAGTTAAGGATAATGGAAAACTGGAGTAGAAGCAAAACGAGAGATCTACACTCTAGAGTTACCGTTGGGAAAAAAAGACACATTTTAGAGATCGTCGAAAAGGAAGGCTGGACATGCACGGAGAAACCGAAAATCACTAATACGGACAGTGCTGGGACGGAACCCGATAAAGAGAAGACTAATGAAAAGACTTGCAACGTTAGTTTTGCCAGACGTAGTAAAAAGGGATGCGAAAATACCACAAGTTTTATTTTAACCCGAAACACAATATTATTAGATTCGCTGTACGGCAATGAATAAATTTATTTTACTATGACGCGTGGTGCGGATTTTCAACAGGATTTTCTACCAGAATATTTATTCCAATCAAAACATAATAATAGCGCTTTGGTTGCAGTATTCTTGTTATACATTTAAGTGGTAATTTTATGATTTTCCTTGTATAGTTGTTTTAATCGGCAATTGATCAAACCGGAAAAAATGTTAGGAATAACGGGAGAGTTATTCTTCAGTTGGCTAATTCTAAAAACCTGAAATGTTTTTTAAAATACTTATATCGGACTTTTCTAGAAGTGGTAAAATTGTCTGGTAGTTTTCAAGTTATTTATAGACGTTTGATATTTTCAGCTTTCATGTAGTTTTATGTAGATGAAATTCTTTTGGCTGAGCAAAAATGCTTGCAATTTTGTTTTTATTCAAATTAATTTGAATTATTTATTATATAGTATAACTTTCTTTGTTCTTTGAATATATTAGTAAACTTTGATCTCTGTTATAGGAATTCGTCGTCGTCGGGCTGACGGAATGATACATAAAACTGTCTGCATAGTTTTGTGTATAAATAATTTTCGTTATAAACTTTTCTCCGTCGTAAAACGTTATTATTAAACGCATTTAACATAATATTTATTAAAATAAATTAATATATAATTTTATAATTATATAATATATATAAACAATTTTATTTTGCGTTTTTTTTTTTTTTTTTCCGGTTTTTCGTAATTATTATGAAAATTGGTCGGACTGACTGGAATGACTGGTTTTTATTCGTTTGCATAGGTTGAAGTGAGATTTTTGGTAGAAAAGTCGTTGACAGGTTAAAAAATCAAAAGAGGAAAAATACATCAAAACAAAACGAAGCTTCGTACTACTAGTAAAATGTGTTTTTAAAAAATTAATTACCCTATACGATTTAATTGTTTAAAAAAAAAAAAAAAGTTAATCAATTTGCAATATAAATTTGCAATACAATTACAATTTTGTAATAATAAGGGGAAAAATCAATTCCTTGATTGTTTAAATCACTTCATTATCCACAGTTTTGTCGGAAAATGTATTTCGTATATTGCGTATTGGCCGAAATGAACAAAACGTGCGTTCGTATACGCCTATCAGATATAAAATCAGGGCCGGCGTTAGGGGTGGGCGCCTCAACGATAATAACTGTACTCGGATTAATTGGTGGTAGGACGCAAAAACATGGTTCCGCCCGGGCCGCCGGCATGTGTAACGCCGGCACTGTATAGAAATAGTGTATAAAAGTGTATACCTGCGTATTGTGTGACAATAACAATATAATATTTTATTAGTATTTTCAACTTTGTACGCTCTTGTTTGACTTTCGAATTTAATCTTTAAAATTTACCTTTCAACTTTCAGTTATGAGACTATCCGCTATTTACAGTTTTGCGTTTTGACTTGCAGTCCGCAGTTAGACTTTCGAGAGGACGGCAATGGGAATGTGGCATGTACCCCAAAAATGGAAATTAAAAACTACTGACTCGACAGCTGAATGAAAATTTCACTGAAAAGTCGACAGAAACAATTGGTTTTTTTTTTTCGATATTTGTATTACACCGTAAAATTACGCGTGAAATAAATTACTACTATTAATATTGTTACGTATCGATTATCAAAGGGTAAAATAATATGGATAAAATCGTTTTTTCGAAAGCCGGCCACTTCCGGTATTCGGATTTGGAAATTGTTTAATAAACTCCCTTCCGTGGATATTTGTAAGTTCGGGTACCGTCTACCGACGGCGACCCGCGAACGGCATTCGATCTACACCCGGGAAATCGCAGTTAGCTTGACCGCGATAATCGATCACCGTAACGCGAACCGCTTCGCCGAGGACCGCTTATTATCCTTCCAGTATATTATAATAATTTATAGATGGACGGCGATATTGGGTTTGGATCCGCCGGAATCGCACAAAACAATACAGGACGGCGTTTATGGGGGCCGGTATGTTTGCGAAACCGACAGAAGCGGCCGCAAAGTGATGCACTGTGATAATGTTATATACTTACGCTACGTCAGCCGGGCGAAACTTCGGTACGGTCGTACGGTGTCCCCGGTCAAACTTTCACCCGAACGGTCACGAAATCAATAAAATTATCGAATACACGTATATTATAGTTTATAGCGAATAGCGATAATACGAAAATTTGAGGGAGAAAAATTCGGAAAATGATTTAATTAAAGTCTCGTCAGACGGATAAGCCGTATATTTTGGAAGGTACAGCGCGAAAAAATTGGATCTTGTTTATTGATCCGAAATAGTGTTGTTTCCAATGAAGAAAATCTGAATAGAATTATTGCAATACAGCTTCTCCGCTATACATCGAAAATCGAAATGTTCAAATAACACGCCGATCAATAATAAGCGATTACAAGTACAGGATATATTATAGTTATTGAAAATTTATTTACGATTAGATAAGATATCGAAGATACATTTACAGCTGATCGCGTAGATCCGGAGTTAGAATAGGTCCACGGCAATTCCTGCATACCGTAAAAGGAGATTAAAAGGAGGTAACGGAGGGATGCAGCTCCGTCACCACCAACTATTGGCGATTTCTACAACGGAACTAACGGCAACGCGAAGACATAGCAGATGCGGCTGGAATATATTTCAAGCGCTGGCTCGCCAATTGCGATGCAGTGAGCTAAACGGAAATTATCGCGTTAGAAATCCTAACGGATATCTCTAATCCAAATAGCCAATGACGTGTCCCTTGTACAACAACGACCATTGTTATGGGCCGCACATCCTATCGACGCCTACAGGAAGCAGCGAAGGACATCCGCGCATGACTAATTCGACAAGGCGTTGCCTTTAGGAAACGATGGATTTAATGACAAATTTAAAGAATTCAAATATATATTAATCGAAAAGTACCTGCGTGCATACGTATGCAGTACAACGCAATACGAATTACACTTGCTGTTGAAAGCCACGCTACGCTAAAAGGAACGATACACCCATTTACAATCGAACATCGATTCTGAGCGTGTAGCGCACTCGGTATTACGCTTGAGATCGATTAATTAACGATAATAGAATTCAACACTGCGTGGATAATAGCGTTCACGACGTAATACTAATGTACACCGTAAAGCATACGACAGACGTATTAATTAATATTAATAATGTCGCATTGCTTGTACATTTCCACAGCTGCTAGCAAAACGCATTTCTTAATTTCGAAAATAAGAATCGAGATTATCATTCGGCGTTTTAATAGTATTCAAATTTAATCGTATACGCCCGACAGATCCCGTCGTCGTCGTCGTTTAAACCTATCTATCGCCGAGGGAAGATTAATAATACGTTCGTCATTAATTATATACAGCGATTCTGAACTGCAAACGGACGCGGAACGACAAAGGACTTACCGAATTTCCTTATGTATATAAACGATTCCCCGGCGAAATGCATTTAAATAAAAACTCGCTCGCGTCCCGAAATATCTTTTCTCGCGACGTTAGATAATATCATATATATTATAGTCTCCCGAAAAGATTTACGAGAAATTGGCCCGAAAACCAACTTGGCTGAAATTTAAATAAACAAATAAATCATCATTAAAACAACGTTAATGCGTAGCGCTCCCACATACGACCGTGCAGAAAATAATAATATTATTATCGTCGCAAACATCCTTTGTGACGGAAGACCGGTACGTTATGCAGGTGCGGCGTGGATATGATCTAAAACGACTAGGCGGCCAACTAGGTTCCAACTCTACGAGTAAATGGAAAGTCTTGCAGCCGTTATACGCGGAGAGGGCAAATCTATTGATTAACCTATAAAATATTTTTTCGTCGAGTTAATTTTTTGATGAAAAACATATTATGCGTGCGATAATGTGAAAAATGTTTTAAATCTGTTTCCGTCGAGCCTGGATACCGAAATCCGAATAAACCGACTTCGAAACATCTCGTCCAAATTCCAAATCTGACAATGATCCAAGGAAGCTGTTGTCCAAAGTGCACGAACCCTAGACCTTTAGTGTTTTAAAAACCACGTCGAGTGAATATAAAGACACGCGTAGTACGGTTAAAGGCGAAAATCCAAGGTTGGGTAGGTCACATTTCGAAGAAAGAAAGTCGAGTGGCGGGGTGATAATGATTTTTTTGTTGGGAAACAGTCGGCATAGGTGAAATATTGTGCCTGGCCTCTTATCGTTTTTCTGACAACCGCAAGCGTATTCTCCGACCCCGCAGCAGGACTCGGCGCGGAGTTCGTTTCATTTTTATATATTTTCATCGGCCCTGCCCGAAATCGATTAGTGTAATGATGGCACGACGAATATTAAACATAAAAACGATTTATCATTGCTATAATAAATTCATGTTTGCGTAATGATAAACATTATTTTTTACATTACTCGTACATATCATTTAATTGATTTTGAAATTCTTAGCGATACGAGAAACGTACTGATTTCGTTACGGCGTGTATGATGTCAATTTGATTTTGATGTTTATAAAAAAAAAAAAAAAAAACGACAGAATAGATTTTCGTAGCAAATTTTGTCTAGTCGTCGCATTGAGAAAGTCATTTTTTCGATTTTCGTTACATTCGACGACCATAATAATAACAAATCATCGTTTTTTCTTTGTAAATACATTAACAGCATGAAAGGATATTACGCGATAAATATTTTATACAGAAATATTATCGTTTTTTTTTTTTTTTAAATCGTCATACAATTGTTATGTAAAAAAATAGTATGCATTAATTACTTAAAATGTATATACACAATATTTAGTAAAGTATCTCATTAATTAATTAATGTTTTTCAAAAACGTTTGAAACTTAAAAATAAATAATGCGCATTGTTTTTTTTTTTTTTTTTTTTAAACGTATTGATTTATCATCAAGTCTAAATAAACAGTAATAATTA